AACTCGAATATAAAATTATAACTTGTTTTGAAGTTTGTAAAACAACGTTGGTTCAAGTTGGACAGCCAATAGTTGGTCAACATCGTTTTGCTGCGAAACAAATCATTTTTCTTTTAATTACTAATTTTGCTTCTTACGAAAACACGTGTCACGTACTGAATAATGTTTGCTTCGATTAAGGTTAGTTTTGGATATTATTTTCAGTTCAAATATAATATTTTACTCTTTTTTTTTTAGAATCAAATATAATATTTTATTTATCTATGATTCTACACCGAGTTATATAATAAATATAGATGTTGGTAAAAATATACAAATTTTATTAAAAGACATTGAATAAGTTATTAATCAATAAAAAAAATTAGGAAAATGGAGAAATGTTAGGGAAAAAATATGTATTTTTTTTTTCAATTTCTCTCCCTCTCAATTTTTTACTTTTTAATAATATAATTATATGTGAGAGTGTAGATCTAAACCTTCCACTTATAATAAATGTTACTTACAAGTCTCAATGACATTTTTCCTAAAACATATTACCACGAAGCGAAATCATTTCTAACATTTTAGATATACAATAGTTCAAATTTAAGTATTACATAGGAAATAAATTATGAATTTTTTTTAAAAATCTTAATCTTATAATATTTATTTTAATCTAAAACGAAGTAGAGAAATTTTAAGTTAGAAGACAAAATTTCCCAAATCCATTACGCACTTTTTTTTAGTACTCTTATCCATGAATAATACATGGGAAGATGGATGGCATTGAATATAAAATGCTAAAAGATTTATATGTGTGTGTGTGAAAAAAATTTGTATATTATTAAATATAATACAAATTAATTTGACCTCACAAGTCACAAAGGGAGAACTTTTAGTACATACATGTGAATGAGTGAAATTAAGATGTAGGTTAATTGGTTGGTTTAGTTTTATTTTTTATTTTCAAAATTGGTTCCTTTGATAACGTAGGGGAATAAAAATTAGTTCCTAAAGGCTAATAATTGGTATTTATTTCTGGCTAAGGGATTATGAATTTGAATCTTGCTGTATTAAAAAAATGGTGTTGAAGATTTTTTTTTCTTTGGCTCTTTATCTCAAGGCAATTTTTTTAATTAATTAAAACAATGTATGAACATAGTTAAAAGGTACATTTATAGTCGGTAAATTTTAGAAAACAGTTCTAAACGATCATTGAAGTTGGTTTAGAAAATGATTCTAAATGATCTCTAGAGTTAGGTTTAGAAAAATAATTTTTCTCTTAAATCTGTTAATTTATATTAATTTTCACATTAAACTTTCAATTTCATCCGATTAGACCGTAAAAAATAGCATAAAAATAAATATGCACGTTTACCTAAGTAAAATTTGAAATTTTACAAAACTAGCCCAATCAAAACTCAAATTAAATTGTAATATAAAACACACTAAAAAAAAATCTTAAATTTAAGAGACTATATAAAAATATTAAAATATAAGAGACTACATTAAAACTTTGAGAAATTTATCAATAATTAATTACCCCTTATTCTTTACCCATAGAAAACAACTCATCTAACATGATAATTAAAATCAATGGGAGATAGTTATTATTATTATTTTAATTAGATAATAATTTGTCAACATGAACATAATTCTACTGGTTACGACATATATTTCAGACTAAAATATCGTAAGCTCGAACTCCCGTCTCACATGTTATTATATTAAAAAATACTAAATTTTAAAATATTAGAACATGTCAAAAGAACGAGTATTTAATATCTTTTACAAAATACTAGTTCGATACCTCGTGCAAATGCATGAATATTTTCTATTTAACTTAATTTTACAATAACATAAATAAATGAGAAAAAACAATATTAGTATAATAACAACAATAATAAACAAAAAAAAAAGAAAAAAATTAAGATGTATATATACAAACTTCATTAAAATATAGGTACTTTACTAATTTAATCATTTAATCTATGAATGTATTTAAATTGCATTGTTTCGTACCTCTTAAAGAATTTTATATTTGATTAAGAAATGTATAAATACTTTAATTTTTTATTTTAATGTTATTTTATCTAATTTTGGTCCATTATTTTCTAAAAATATTTTGTTTGTTTATTAAAAATTCTAAAAAAATTTCAAACTAACATTTTGTTATATATTAAATATTTTAGTTCATACTAATTTAAATTCAAGTTAGTATATTCCAACTTTTTAGATTTCATACCAATTATTGTACATAATTAATTTATTAATTTACTATTTACAATTAATTAAAACTTTATGACCTTACACAAATTTTTTTTCAACAAAATCAACATGAACTTGTAATAGATCAATACATTATTATTATTTTCTCAAAAAACATTCTAAATACATAAAACACTAATTATAAAAGAACAATACAAAACAATAGTAACAAAAAAAAAAAAATCAAAGTTTGTCAATACACTAATCTAAAATATGTTGATGCTTAACAATCACTATTATTCTACCTCATAAATTATGGAACGATGATCTCGCAAGCTTTGGATTCAAGATATAGTGTCGACACATGTATTCTCTATGACTTGATGAATATGTCGCCAACATGATTTTGAGATGTTTTTGAGATTGAATAATATTTGAGAGCAATGTTTTGAGAGAATTAAGTGTTGTGAAAAAATAATGAATGAAAGTATGTTTTTATAGTATTAGGAGATAAAACGTTACAAAACTCTTGTAATTCTATTATAAATTGTAATTAAAGAAAATAATTTAATTTAATAGTGTGAAAAACCTTTTGTATTCTAACCTTGTTTAGATCATGGATATTTATTATTATATTATTATTGATAATTAATAATCAATAATTAATTTAATATTTATAATAAATTATTAATAACATAATTTGTAAATTAATAAATTAAGAAAGGGACAAAAGCGTCCAAAAATATTTATCCGAGATCCTCCCATTTTAATATAGTATAGATATGAAATAGCCAAATAGATCCATTTGTTAAGGCAAATATTCGTCGGAGATCTCCCCCCACCAAATTTCCTTTTAGAAGATAATTATTTATTAAAAAAAAAGTTCTTCCCATCGAGATTGACATCTAAATAAATTAAAACTAAAAAAATAAAAAAAAAAGTTATGGATAAAGTTGACTCGTCTCATGAATTATTGTATGAATAAGCATACGTGGAAAGGAATTCATTTAACAAGATAATAATAGTTGACAATAATAATATGCTTACAATCCTCAAATAATAATAATTAAAAACAAAAAGTGAAAAATGTAGAGGAAATACCTACTATTAAGGAAGATATTTTAAAATTTTATTTTCAATTAGCTATCAATTTAGTAGCTAACCCAACGACAGCTTTGGGCCTACTAATAGTGCGAAGATCGGAGTTTGGGCCAACCCCAAAGGCCTGACCTTGCATTCTAATATTTTGTGATTGGGCTTTAAATTTATCGGACCATTATTCAGAAAAAAAAAATATATATATATCCATCCCTATTTTACAAAAATCAAAATTTATCATTGCATACCCTATTATTTTATGTGATTTTCAATATTGTCAAATATTATTTATTTGATTCAATTTGACCCTTGGTTTGGTATTTATTTTTTTTCAATTTTATGACAATTGCTTTTTGTCAAAATATCTAAATAATTTAAACTTTAAATAATAATAAGTTATATTAATATGTACTCGATTTAATCTGATTTAGAAGAAAAGTTAGGTTTCTGTCCAGAAAAAAAAAGAAAAAGAAAAAGAATTATTTTTTTGGTCGATGGGTAGTTAGATATAATTGTTAGTAAAGTATTATTTATTTGAGTGTAATTTAATATTAAGAATTCCGTTGTAGTCTAGTTGGTTAGGATACTTGGCTCTCACCTGAGAGACCCGGGTTCAAGTCCCGGCAACGGTACTTGTAAAAATAATAATTCTGGTGTCTTCTTCATGGTTCGGTGGCAAATCGGTACACGCACAGTTGCTACTCTTTAAGATTTTTTACATAATAAAAAATAGGATTTTTCAAATTATATTTTTGTTTTTTAATATGAATCTTCTCACTTTGGGTTCGATCAATAGACTGTAGAAGATATAACTTAGTTTTAAAAAAAAAGTAATTTACCGATAAAATTTATACAATTATTAATTCTCTTTAAGAAATTTTACATAATAAAAAATAGGAATTTTAAATTATATTTTTGTGTATATATATATATATATGTAAAATTGGATCTTCTCATTGGAAGGGAAGAGTGAAAGATATGACTCTAAAATGAATATGTAATCAGAGTTAACATTAAATGAGGTGATTGAGTTGTTCCTCACGTCAAATTTTCATTAGTCGATTAATAGTATGACCATTTTGAACCATTTATTGAATTTCAAGAATGAAAGTGTCCCATTTTAAAACATAGGATCAAATGGTTACTAATCTCAAATCTCAACCACTAGATAGACATTAATCTCAAATCTTAAGACAAATAATGTATTTTACTCTAAATTTAACCTTTTTAAAATAAATAATAAAAATATAATTTATAAATAAAATAAATCTTACTCAGGTACTAAATTTCCATTGCCATCCACGGGATAAATCGACAAAATATGAAAAATATCTACAAAAATATCATAAATATCGTATTAATTATTTTAAACTTAATTATAAATGGTGAAATGTTATCTGTTATTTAAATATTTTTTTATTTCTATAAATATCCACCATATTCTATCGACATTTATACGAATTTGAGGCTTCAATATCTCGATCGATATCGACATTCAAAACGTTGATGTTACTTTTATTAAGATCTATGATCTCTTCGATTTCATGGAAGTGAGTCCATTTGAAAAGTATAACATACGTTTTTAAAATTAACTTTTACAATTTTTTCAATTTGAATTTAAAAAAAATATCAAAACACATCCCAGGGTACTTAGGGAAAAAAAATGTTATAAGAGTGGATGAGTATATATTTTAAAATATTTAAAGATTGGGAGCGAGCGTAAGACCATTCACTGCCGCCGCCCCTCCCCCGATTTCTTCTTCTCCGGCGACATCCTGCGGCGGCGCGGCGACCCCTTGACGAGAAAACCAGAGCGACGCTCCTCCTCTGCGCGCGTCGATCTGCAGCCACGAACTAACTGGACGAGCAGAGCACGAACAGCAGCGCGTGGACCCCTGCCTTTTCGACATCAATACAGCACCGACACAAACCGTTCTGTGAGGGTCAGTAGGTAACAACTCTTCGTAATACCCTTGCTGACTCGATTAAGGTTGTCGGGACTGAGTTTAACATTCTAAATCTTGGATCAAGTGCTAACAGTGTTGGGCGTGTTGTAAGTAGCTTGAGAGCGTGTGTGTGCGGGTTTGCATGCTGAATGAACTCATGTGACTGCTGTATTTGTTCATGACACATGATTTTATGATATTAATTATGAAACGTTGATAATGAAGAATGTGTTTTAGCATAGCTATGGAAGATCTAAGAGCATATTGAGTTGTTGTGAAGTTGTTTGAGTATTGCTTCATTCTTTTTTTTTTCTTTTGGAATGAAACAGAAGTTATTAGAATTTTCTTCAACATAATGGGCGTCTGTAAAATGACATACAGACAAGTACGGGAACCTGCTTTATTCAGAACGTCATGGAGGATGAAAAGCTCGAGAATTTTCAGGTTTGATGTTGATTCTCCAAGTTTCATTGCCACGCCATTGATTCTTAACTCAGTTATTTCTACAAGTTTACTGTTTAAATCGGAACGATGCTTCTAATTCCCATCAAACACCATGAGAAATTCGTTGGGCATCCGCGTGGTTGCAAACCGGTACGCCGCACAATTGCAACTCTGTTGCCCACAGAATCCCTCTTCCTTTTCACTTGCTCGGACTGTCCATGCCCACATGATTGCTTCGGGATTCAAGCCTCGTGGGCATCTCGTCAATCGCCTGCTCGACGTATACTGGAAATCGTCAAATCTTGTGTATGCGCGCCAACTGTTCGACGAAATTCCCAACCCAGATGCTGTAGCGAGGACTACATTGATCACGGCATACTCTGCAGTGGGGAATCTAAGTCTGGCTAGAGCAATATTCAATGGGACTCCATTGGTCATGAGGGACACTATTTTCTACAACGCTATGATTACTGGCTATTCGCACAATGATGATGGTCATTCTGCTCTTGAACTGTTTCATGCTATGAGACGGGGTAATTTTCAGCCTGATGACTTTACATTTACTAGCGTGCTCAGTGCTTTGGCACTTATTGTTGATAATGAGCAGCAATGTAGCCAAATTCATGGTGCGGTGGTAAAATCTGGAACTGGGCTTGTTTCTTCAGTGTTAAACGCTCTCCTATCTGTTTATGTTAAATGTGCATCTTCACCATTAGTGTTATCATCTTCACTAATGGCATCAGCTAGGAAACTTTTTGATGAAATGCCAGAGAGGGATGAATTAACATGGACAACAATGATTACTGGGTATGTGCGGAATGATGATCTGAATGGAGCGCACGGACTTCTTGATACAATGACTGAAAAGCTGGGGGTAGCATGGAATTCAATGATCTCCGGATATGTGCACCATGGTCTTTTCCAGGAAGCCTTAACATTGTTTAGGAAAATGCGTTTGCTTGGAGTCCAGCATGATGAGTTCACCTACACAAGCGTGATTAGTGCTTGTGCCAATGGTGGTTTTTTTCAACTGGGAAAACAGGTGCATGCTTACATTCTAAAAAATGAGCTCAACCCAAATCATGATTTTATATTGTCTGTGAGTAATGCATTGATTACTTTGTATTGGAAGTTCGGTAAAGTTGATGGGGCACGGAAGATTTTTTATGAGATGCCAATTAAAGATATTGTTACTTGGAATGCAATCTTATCAGGGTATGTGAATTCAGGGCGGATGGAGGAGGCAAAGTCTTTCTTTGTAGAAATGCCAGAGAAAAACCTTCTTACTTGGACTGTGATGATTTCAGGATTAGCACAAAATGGATTTGGGGAAGAGGGTTTGAAGCTGTTTAACCAAATGAGGTTAGATGGTTATGAACCCTGTGATTATGCATTTGCAGGAGCAATTACAGCTTGTTCTGTGCTTGGAGCATTGGAGAATGGTCGCCAGCTCCATGCTCAGCTTATTCATCTTGGTCACGATTCAAGCCTCTCAGTTGGCAATGCAATGATCTCAATGTATGCAAGATGTGGAGTGGTTGAAGCTGCAAAATCTTTGTTCCTCACTATGCCTTTTGTGGATTCGGTTTCATGGAATGCGATGATTGCAGCACTGGGACAGCATGGGCATGGTGTAAAAGCAATAGAACTTTTTGAACGAATGTTGGAAGAGGGTATACTCCCCGATAGAATAACATTTCTTACTGTTATCTCTGCATGTAGTCATGCAGGTTTGGTTGATGAAGGACACAAGTATTTTAATTCAATGTCTGAAACTTATGGCATTACTCCTGGTGAGGATCATTATGCTCGGATGATCGATTTGTTTTGTCGAGCTGGGAAGTTCTCAGATGCAAAGAATGTCATTGATTCCATGCCTTGCAAACCTGGGGCACCAATGTGGGAGGCTCTTCTTGCTGGCTGTCGGATTCATGGAAACATGGATTTAGGAGTAGAAGCTGCTGAAAGGCTTTTTGAGTTAATGCCACAACACGATGGAACCTATGTACTTTTGTCAAACATGTATGCCAATGTTGGCCGGTGGAATGATGTTGCAAGGGTGCGGAAACTGATGAGAGATCGAGGGGTCAAGAAGGAGCCTGCTTGTAGTTGGACTGAGGTTGAGAACAAGGTTCATGTCTTTTTGGTGGATGATACTGTGCATCCTGAGGTGCTATCTGTCTACAATTATTTGGAGCAACTAAGCCTTGAAATGAAGAAACTAGGATATATTCCGGATACAAAGTATGTGTTACATGATATGGAATCTGAACATAAAGAATATGCTTTGTCTACTCACAGTGAGAAGCTTGCAGTTGGGTTTGGGCTAATGAAGCTCCCTAAAGGTGCCACGGTTAGGGTTTTCAAGAACCTTAGGATCTGTGGGGATTGCCACAATGCATTCAAGTTCATGTCTAAAGTGGTGAGGAGGGAGATAGTAGTGAGAGATGGAAAGAGGTTTCACCATTTCAAGAATGGTGAATGCTCGTGCGGTAATTACTGGTGATTTTGACTCTCGTTTACCTGGCTAGTGATTTTCTCGGCTGGTCTAAAAAATGGCCATATATCACTTGAAACATGCAAGGAGGTCGTCGGTGAAATTGCTCACCAAGTCACTGAACTATCAAGTCCAGTTGAATGATTTGAAGGGAAGGTTGGTTACAAAAATGACCTATGATTTATCTTATGGTTAAGTTGTATTTTTAGTCCTTATGTTTTAATTTTAGTTCCAATTTCTTTATTGTTCTTCTCTTATCACAACTCAGCAGCTGCATCTCAAATTTCATATTTACATTTCTAGCGCCGATAGGAAGTCTTCTTTAATGGGAAAGTTCATTTCAACTCTCAACGTTTCCAATGATCTACTGACTTTCAAAGCCTATTTGTACAATTTCTTTTCTTAACATGTTTTGCCTCCTTTACTGTTAAATTCCTCGGCAATAAAATCACTAATTTTATTGTTTGTGTCTGACCATGGTTCTTATCCACTGTAGAATAGAAACCTTAAAAGGGTGTTTCAAGCCTAACGATTACCTTTTTCCGTACTTCACAGCCTATTCCATTTAGAATTCGAAACATAATTATTGTCTAAACGTGCAACAATATTGAGCTTCAATTTTCTTCTTATTGGTGATCATACTTGGTGGACTGTTTGATCACCCTGCGAAGTTTGTTTCTTACCAGATGGAATCTTTGAACAGACATTGGTTGTTGCTGCATACGTGAGTAGTCGTGCCCAGTACCGTAGCACTAGAAATTCAATCTGCCACAGTTAAAGCTGTCTCCTGCAAGCTCACGACACGAGCACCTGCCCCCTTTTCTTAACTCGTGACAGCATTCTTCATCGTCGTGCTGTGAGCTCCATTGAGAGAGCAAAGTTCACTTGAAGTTGTTCGCTACATACTTGCAAACTCACAAATGGCTTTCAATCTGCGTGGATAGGTAAAATTTTCGGCTGCCCATCATCTTTTTATTTCTTTATGCCTATTTTATCTACTCATTACCCCCATTTGTTTTAGTTGCATTATTGGAATATCATGTAAACTAAAAGACAACAATGCATCACACCAAGAATCACTCCGTAATGAGGGATTTTTGTCTACATTATGGAGTTTGGTGTAAGCCGCCAAAACGAAGGATAGGACTCTTAAATTTGAGAAAAGAAATGTTGCTGCAGTTTACTTGCTTTCACAAGCTTCCTTCATCTGATTCTTGAACGAAATCGTGAATCTGTAGATTGAAACATTCAAGAACACTTTCATTTCTGATAAAAGAAGGCTTCATCATCTTGGTTAAGGTATGCTTTGCTATGGACTTCAAAAATTTCTTAGTTTTGTTTTTCACTCATATGAATTGAAATCATAAAAGCTGTGGGATTTTGGCCTTTGCCCAGAAAGTTTGTTTACTTTACTGAAAATCTCCCAGACACGGTGTTTTTTTCTTCACTCTTAAGGATAGTATTTTACTTTTCGAAGCTTCTCCTTCACTCTTATTGAAGATTAGATTGGTCACTTGAATCTTTCTGAACTTTTTGAATTGGAATCTGAAATTCTTTGGAATATAAGAGTTTAGGTGAATATATTGACACTGGTTCTGGGACCAAAGTGATTGAAAATTATAGCTAATGTTATGCATATAAAATATGTATTTATCATTTTTATACATAGTTTGACCAAAAAAAAAAAAAAGTACCACTCAAATATTATCCTTAATTTATTCTCTATACTAAATTATTTTTTTGGTCGATGGGTAGTTAGATATAATTGTTAGTAAAGTATTATTTATTTGAGTGTAATTTAATATTAAGAATTCCGTTGTAGTCTAGTTGGTTAGGATACTTGGCTCTCACTCGAGAGACCCGGGTTCAAGTCCCGGCAACGGAACTTTTAAAAATAATAATTCTGGTGTCTTCTTTATGGTTCACCGCCACGCCATGGATTCTTTACGCTATAATTACTACAAGCTTCGTGTTTATGCTTCTAATTCCCATCAAACTCCATGAGAAATGCCTTGGAAGTCCGCACGGTGGCAAACCGGTACGCCGCACAGTTGCTACTCTGTTCCCCACTGAATCCGGCTTCCTATTCGCTTGCTCAGACTGCCCATGCCCACATGATTGCTTCCGGATTTAAGCCTTGTGGGGATTTCCTCAATCGCCTCCTCCAAATGTTCTGCAGATTGTCGAGTCTTGTTAATGCGCGCCAACTGTAAAAGTACTACTTTGATTGCGGCATATTCTGCGCCTTGGAATTTGAATCTTATTTGAGGAATATTTAATGGGACTCCACTCGCGTTATCAGGGACGCTATTTTGTACAACGCAACGATTACTGGCTATTCGCACAACGATCATGGTTATTCTGCTCTTGAATTGTTTCATGCTATGAGACAGCAATTTTCGGCTTGATGACTTTACATTTACATTTACTTTGTACTGCAAGAATGGTAAAGTTGATGGGGCACGGAAGATTTTTTATGAGATGCCAGTTAAAGATATCGTTACTTGGAATGCAATCTTATCAGGGTATGTGAATGCAAGGCGTATGGACGAGCCAAAATCTTTCTTCGCAGAAATGCCAGGGAAAACCCTTCTTACTTGGACTGTGATGATTTCAGGATTAGCAAAAAATGGATTTGGGGAAGATGGTTTGAAGCTGTTTAACCAAATGAGGTTAGACGATTATTAACCCTGTGATTATGCACTTGCAGGAGCCATTACAGCTTGTTCTGTGCTTGGAGCATTGGAGAATGTCGCCAGCTCCATGCTCAGCTTGTTCATCTTGGCCACAGTTCAACACTCTCAGATGGCAATGCAATGATCTCAGATTCTCAATGAATGCAAGAAGTGGGCTTTTGATCTAAGCAAAAAGGTAAAGTTTTTGTTTCTTCATCATCTTGTTTTCCTTCCCAATGGTTTCACTGCTGCATAGTTTTGTTTTGCACTCATATGAATTGAAATCAGACAAGCTGTGGGATTTCCTCTTGTTACAATACCTCAGTAAATGGTCATCCCTTCAATTAAGGTCATCTTCAACCAAGGAATTGATTACTCTCTCCCTCCTATTCGTTACTGTCAATATTCTGTATTTATGTTTGTTTCCATTCTTGTATAACCAATTTGGTAGCAGACCATGTATACATGGAAATAAGATCATTGTAATAATTCCAATGGTGGACTATATAGCACCCACCTTCACCTTAATGCAAAGTGTGCAAAAAGACATTTTCTCAAAACCTTATTACTTTAGAATTCTCAGTTGGTATCAGAGCTTGCAAAGGCCAACGCCGACATGGCAAACGAAGGATCCTCCGGCTCAACCATAAACAACTCTCAACAACTCAATCCCCAATCAGCCATCAACATATCATTCGATCACCCTCTAAGCACTGTTCTCACAGTAAAGCTTGACGACATGAACTACACACTATGGAAAGGAATGGTCCTTGCGGTCTTGCGAGGGCAAAAGGTCGACGACTATGTTCTCGGGACAAATACATGTCCTTCCAAATACACTACGACAACAAGTGACACTGGAACGTTAGAACCAGCACTCAATCCGGCACACGAAGAATGGTCCGCTGTAGACCAGGCCCTTTGTGGATGGCTGTTCGGGTCCATGACACCATCCATCGCTGCTGATGTTGTCAATCTCCAAACCTCAAATGAAGTTTGGACTGCTCTAGAAAGGCTCTTCGGGTCAACCAGCAAGGCACGCATCAATCAATTAAGAAACAGTTTGCAAAACACCAAAAAGGGAGCCATGAAAATGACARAATATCTCGCTTTCATGAAACAGACCTCCGAAGATCTGAAACTCGCTGGTRAACCCGTTACGCTAAGCTATTTGTCATCATRCATATTGACGGGCCTTGAGGCAGAATATTTACCRATTCTTTGCACAATCGAAGATAAAGGTATACTATCTTGGCAAGATTTATATTCTACTCTTATAACGTTTGAAAATACTCTTGTACGACTCAACTTGGTGAATACAAGTGGAGATATAGGAAATGCCACTGCCAATTATGTTTACAGCCGACAGAGCCAACCTTACAATAATAGACAGCAGCAATATTCTTCAAATCAAKTCCATGGACAGTCACGAGGAAGCAACAACAGTGCACGGGGGGCTGGTAGAAACAGAGGGCAAGGTCGAGGTAGAAACAATGGYTATAGAGGTAACAACTCACGACCCACTTGTCAATTGTGTGGAAAGGTTGGACATGTTGCTGYTGTATGCTACAATAGATTCAATGAAGAATTCAATAACCCCACCAACTTGGAGAATACAAGCAAGAATGCTGCTGCCTTTATGGCTACTCCAGAAATTGTAGCAGATCCTCATTGGCTTGTTGATAGTGGAGCAACAAACCACATTACTCCAGATCTTGCAAATCTGAGTATCAAAGCAGATTACAATGGTAATGAGATGTTGACAGTTGGTAATGGCTCTAAACTTCATGTTTCTCATATTGGGCATAATTTCATTCATTCAAACCACACAAAGCGCACTCCTATTAGTTTAAAAAATATTCTTCATGTACCACATATCAAAAGAAATTTATTGAGCATTGCTAAACTCACTGCCGATAATCATTGTTTTGTTGAATTTTACCCTCACCATTGTTTTGTGAAGGACATGGAAACCAARAGGKTGTTGCTGCACGGGGTCCTTAAAGACGGATTRTACCAGTTGAAGTTCCYGGTAAAATGTCAGGTGTCTCCAAATAATGGCCAAAAAGCCCATATTGAGTYGAATCGTCAATTTCCTTTTCAAACCTGTGTTGCTAGTTCCAGTTCAAGTGTYAGTAGTGTGTCTAAGAATGTATGGCACCAACGTCTGGGCCATCTTTCTGAGCRYGTCCTCAATATTATTCTAAAGAGTTGTAATGTCCAATTTTCCAATAATGAAAAAGTACCYTTCTGTGATGCCTGCCAATATGGAAAATCTCATARTTTGCCTTATTCTCTCTCTAACTCTACCACAAGCAAACCACTTGAGCTTGTCTATTGTGATCTTTGGGGTCCTGCACCCATAACCTCGACCTCCGGCTTCCGCTACTATATAAACTTTGTTGATAATTTCACCCGTTTGACTCAGATATACCCAYTCAAACATAAGTCTGAAGCTTTAACTGCATTCATTCAATACAAATCCCTTGTTGAAAATCAATTTGATTGTCGAATTAAAACTTTTCAGAGTGATTGGGGTGGTGAATTCCGACCCTTCTCCTATTTCTTTCAACGACATGGTATTCTTTTCTGTCACCCTTGTCCTCATACTAGTCAACAAAATGAAATTGTCAAACGCAAACACCGACACATCGTTGAGATGGGTCTCACCCTCCTCGCCCAAGCTTCCATGCCTTTAAAGTATTGGTGGGAAGCATTCACCTCTGCTGTCTATCTCATTAATCGTCTTCCAACTCCAGTTCTTCGAAACATATCACCCTGAGAAAAGGCTTTCAACAAAAAACCAAACTATCACTTTCTCCGAACCTTTGGGTGTGCTTGTTTTCCTTGTCTACGACCTTACCAATCTCAAAAGTTCCAATTTCATAGTACCAAATGTGTGTTCCTTGGTTATAGTGAATCCCACAAAGGTTACAAATGTCTTAGCTCAAGTGGTAGGCTTTACATCTCTAGAAATGTCACTTTTAATGAATCTGTTTTTCCCTTCAAGGAAACATTTCTCACCACAACTGTCCCTCACCAGCAAGAGAATGATACCATCATTACCCATATTGAGTTTCCTTTCCATCTATCCAACTCTCCTACCCCTAATGTGTCTCCCCCAAGTCAACCCATTATTACTCCTACCCCCCAAGTCAACCCATTATTACTCCCACCCATGTAGTTGCACCACCTTCAGTCATTAGCTCCACCTTACATACACCGTCAGATTTGGACCTCGTTGCAGCAGCACCATATGGCTCTCCATCTCCTTCTCCCCCATCTCCAGCCTCCTCTTCCCACCTACCTTCAGCCCCACATACTCAGCTCCACCAGCCCTCTCATCCAATGCAAACCCGATCAAAAAGTGGAATTTACAAGCCTAAAATCAGCACTTTTCTCTCTATCTCCTCTACACCCAATTCCGACCTCCCTATTCCACATATTGAGCCCAAATCCRTCACTCAAGCTCTCAAATCYACTGAATGGAATGCTGCCATGCGTGCTGAAATGACTGCATTAAATAATAACAACACCTGGACCCTGGTTCCTCCACCTCCAAATGTTAACCTTGTTGGAAACAAGTGGGTTTTTAAAATCAAACGCAACCCAGATGGTAGTGTCAACAAATAMAAGGCCCGACTTGTAGCTAAAGGGTTTCATCAAAATCCTGGAATCGATTTCACCGAGACCTTCAGCCCTGTTGTGAAATCATCTACCATTCGTGTTATCCTCACTATTGCCGTATGTAAGAATTGGGATGTTCGTCAACTCGACATAAACAATGCTTTTCTCAATGGGCTTCTCGATGAGGTTGTTTATATGGCTCAACCTATCGGTTTTGTTGACTCAAGTAAACCACAATATGTTTGCAGACTCCATAAAGCCTTGTATGGTCTCAAACAGGCTCCCYGGGCTTGGTTCRATSGCCTTCGCAGTGTATTGACTAGTTGGGGCTTCACCAACTCGAAAGCTGATAACTCTTTGTTCTACTTGGTCACTGCGAAACTAACCATTTTTATTTTAATCTATGTTGATGATATTCTTATAACAGGTAGTGATCAGCACTTCATTGACCAATTTGTCTCTCGCTTGAATCAAGCCTTCTCTCTCAAAGATTTGGGGTCCATATCTTATTTCCTCGGCATTGAAGTCCAGCGCACACCAGCCGGTCTCCACCTCACACAGACCAAGTACATCACCGATCTCCTGGAGCGCCTTGGTTTGTCCCACATCAAGCCTTGCCCGACTCCTGCTGTGACTGGAAAACAACTATCGACCTATGACGGTGATCCCATGCCTCATCCTACTCTATATAGAAGCACCATTGACGCCCTCCAATACTTGACTCATACACGGCCTGAGATATCATTTATCATCAACAAACTCAGTCAGTTCTTACAAAATCCGACCACTGTCCATTGGCAAGCCGTCAAGCGCGTTCTCCGCTACCTGCAAGGTACTTCTACCCATGGGTTGTTCCTGCAAAAATCCACGAAACTTTCTCTCATCGCCTATTCAGATGCTGATTGGGCATGTAACGTGGATGATCGCCGCTCTATTGCTGCACATTGTGTCTTCCTTGGGAGTTCCTTAGTTTCATGGTCCTCTAAGAAGCAACATGTCGTTGCTAGATCAAGCACTGAATCTGAGTATCGTTCGCTAGCTCATGCTGCCGCCGAAATCAGTTGGCTTCAGTCCCTACTTACCGAAATCGGTCACTGTCCACCTAGCACCCCTATTATTTGGTGTGACAACACCAGTGCCATTTCACTTGCCGCCAACCCTGTGTTTCACTCTCGCAGCAAGCATGTTGAATTGGATGTTCATTATGTCCGAGATAAAGTACTAGCTCGAGCTCTTGATGTACGTTATGTACCCACCAATGACCAACTAGCTGATGGTCTCACTAAAGCACTATCCGAAACTAAGTTCTGTGAGCTAAGAAGCAAACTCGGCGTGACTTTATCACCCTTTCGTTTGAGGGGGGATGTTACAATACCTCAGTAAATGGTCATCCCTTCAATTAAGGTCATCTTCAATCAAGGAATTGATTACTCTCTCCCTCCTATTTGTTACTGTCAATATTCTGTATTTATGTTTGTTTCCATTCTTGTATAACCAATTTGGTAGCAGACCATGTATACATGGAAATAAGATCATTGTAATAATTCCAATGGTGGACTATATAGCACCCACCTTCACCTTAACCTTAATGCAAAGTGTGCAAAAAGACATTTTCTCAAAATCTTATTACTTTAGAATTCTCAGTCCTCTTCATGATTATAATATAACCATTGTGAATATGGCCTTTGTCCACAAAGTTTGGCTTTTACTTTACTGAAAATCTCTTAAACATGGTGTTTTTTTCTGCACTCTTTCAACCGTGAAGGATAATATACTTACTTTCCAAAGCTTCTCCTTCACTCTTATTGAAGATTAGATTGGTCACTTGAATCTTTTTCTTCTCAGACAAAAGGTGGTGCTAAACTTTTTGAATTGAAATCTGAAATTCTTTGGAAGATGAGAGTGTAGGCAACTATATTGAGACTGTTTCTGG